TGTCTGATATGGTTGTACCTGTTCAGCATATCCCTTGAATGTTTGAATGTTTATTTTATTTATATGCTGCCCTTTTCCCCCGAATGGGACTCAGGGCGGCTCACAACTCAACCAAGGGAGGGGGATACAGACAAAAATTAAAGCGACACGCAACAATACATAATTTAAAACACACAACTTTGTTAGGATCATTAGGATCCTTAGGATCATTAGAGCATGCAAGCCACTCCACCACGGCACGGTAAAGATTGTTGTTGTTGTTGTTGTCAAATAGCCATGGAGACTGCCAAGATGCTGGCCAGGACTATTTAAAAAATGGTTGAGGGAGGTTCTCCTCCATCCAGTCAATTAAAAGCATTTCAAGGAGGGGGGAAAAAACCAGAGATTGCAGAATCACTGTGGGTTTTTTCCCTTCCTGATGGAATCTGTGTAAGAGAAGAAGCAGGCACACAGCATTTGACAGAAAGCCAAAGAGAATTGAAGATCACAGCTCACCTTCACAGAAAAACATATCCCACACGCGTAACATGGAACACCAAGGCAAGGTCCGGGAAAAGATGCACATAAACCACTCGGTCATATACAAGATGGGGTCGATCTTGTATCTCTTCAGGTGACGATAGGCAATGGGAGACGCTTGTCGGAGAAGTGCAAAGAAGATCTCCCCATCTAACTGGATTGCCTCCTGAACAAGAAGTACAGATGGGATGTGGAGTGAATTCAGGGGCTCTAGACATGATAGCCTATATTCCCCTTCCAATGCTTTTATCTCCCTCCCCCCAGGGTTTATAATCTCTGAGCAGCAAGGAAAGTTGGGGAGACGAGATGCAGAACTCAGTCATATATTGCACCAAGCTACTGTTTGCTTAACCATTGTTTGTTGAACATAGCACAACAGGTGGGGTCCAGACACCAGACTAAGCTTTAAAGCAGGGGTCTCCAACCTTGGCAATTTTAAGCCTGGAAGTTTAAGCAAAGCTGGCTGGAGAATTCTGGGAGTTGAACTCCTCCAGATTTAAAGTTGCCAAGGATGACATTCCAAACCAACGTCAAATAAAATTTATGATGGGTCATCCTGCTACCTGAAGGCCAAAAAAATATGTAAGACTGAAGTGGTTGCAACTGTTCAAGGTTTCTGTAGGCAAAAATTGTGTTGCTCCTTTCAATTCAATGAATTAAGAAACCAGATTGACCTCAGAGGGGTGGACAGGGCTCAGCTTTGCTCATCATGAGACACCTGCCAGAAGTTCGCCTACTCATGACAGATAACTCATGATTTAACTCAGTCTTAAGTTCAGTCAGAGAATATGAAATTTCAAGTTGACCCAGAGGAGGGGAAGTGAGAAGAGGTTGGAGAAGAAGCCTGCCAAAAAAACAACTGAGATGAGGTGGCCCGATAGAAAAACCATTGCCTTTCTTTACAAGAAGTACATATTCTAGCTGTGGAAAGCCAAAGGTTTGCAGGTAGTATCTGTTGGGAATTCCTTAAGACATCCAAATCTGGCCCACATCCTGGAAACTGTAAGGATCCAGCCCACATCACTTTGGCGTGGCCCATACCAACCTGGTGGGTGTGCGCTCGCACAGGCCCAGTTTTCCATCACTGCATGCAGAGCAACTAGTCTGTGGGACTACAGTA